CTGGTATGGTAGCACACACTCATAATCCCAGGACTTGGGAGACTGAGGCAGGAGGATTGCAAGTTGAAGTCAGCTTGGGTTACACAGTGAGACCCTATCTCAAAAAACAAACAAACAAACAAAAACAACAGAAAAGAGAGAGAGTAAAATGAGCAATATACTACATATACCCAAAGTTTAGCTTCCGCCCCTTATCCACAGATATTAAACTGCAATTTTGTCTATTTCATAATTTGTGTTTTTAGCCAAACTCTCCTTATTATTGTCACCTTACACCTCTGGATTCTGATACTTGTTCCATTGATCCCACTACTCTCTTTACCTTACCAATAAGCCAGAAATATATTAAATGAAATAATGGTTCTTATAAACATTAAAAAACCTAGTGGCTCTTTTTTTGTCACTATTTTTTTCTGAGCACATTTTTTTATAAGTGTGTGCAGAAGCTTCTAAGCACTGGTTATATCTAATACAAATATGAAATAAATAGTATGTGTTTATCAAGAATAACATGCTGATAAGTGTGTTTATTAATGCTTTTAAAAGTTTCTAAATTAAATTTGGAAATAGATCAGAGAAAGGGGAATCCCAAGCTGAGATTCTGATTAACAGGTAAATTCACATATTATATTGGTAAATAAAAATAATAAGATAGATCAGTGTTGGATAGGGACAGACTATTGGCTTTGAAATGCAATTGAACTTATTAATGTCTCTGAGGTAGTCTCTGGGCTAGAACCTACTGAATGTAGCTCCCTACTTACAATGTCTCCCTCAGCCCATTGTCCAAGGAGTTGAATGATCAGTGGACAGACAGTTAACCCAGCATAGGCAGAAAGTTTCTCTTCCTTTAAAACATTAAACTTGAGCTCTGATACATACAAAATGTTACTGGACCATAGATGTCGTAACAAAAAAGTCTGGAGGAATGACCAAGGAATTTCTACAGCTATAAGCCCCAAAGCTGTCCTGATACCTGCATTTTCTAAGTTTTGGCTTTCTGCTCTACTTTACATTGCATGAACTAGCCCAGCATTTTCCCAAGTCCTTTTAGTCTAGAATTGTTTTTTGTGTTTTCAGCAAAATGAATAAATAAATAAACAAATAATTGTATGGTGTTGTAAGGTCAATTTTATCTCTCATTATGATTCTTATTCAATCAAATATGCCATTATATTTTGTTAGTAGGGGTAGATAGAGCAATAAGTGGGAGAAACATGATCTCTACCTCCTTGAAGCTCCCAGTCTGGCAGAGAGAACAGACATGATAAAGTATGGAAATGAAAGGATTTCACTATTCATTTAACAAATACTTATTGAGCACCCATTATACATAAGACACTATTCTATATACTCGAAACATCGACAAAGAAAATAAAGATTCCCTGCCCTTGTCTCTTTTAACAGGAAATGAAAACAAATAATAAACATAGAAACACATAAATATATAATGTGGATTTAGAAGATAGTAAATGCTACGGACAAAAACTTAACAGGAGATCAGAAGGCAAAGTATAGCAGCTGGCCTAAAGGTCAGAAGTGACAAGCTGGAGAAACAGAAAGTTTATAAAAAGCCAAAATATCAACAAGGCCAGTGGCCCAAACTGAGGATGAGGAGGTTAGCCAACCAAGACAAGTTATCTTACACCCTTCTGGATTCTGACTGGGACTTTAAGGACTTTATAAGCCGACTTGAGGATTTGAATTTTAATCTAAGGCAATCTGAAGTCTCTTAAGAGTTTGAACCATAGGCTAGTGTGATCAGATATGGATTCTAAATTTATCATTCTGCCTGCAGCCTGGGAAACACATCATCAAAAGCGAATAGCAGCAGATGGGAAAGGATAGTTAGGAGGCTCTTGTCTTAGTCGAAGAGAAATGGTGGTGCCCTTGCCTAGTGCATGTTTTCTCAACTAAACAATGATAGCTGGGATAAAATGGCTATCTAGGCGTAGATTGTTAGGTTCTTATATCTTGAATAAATTAATGCCTGCCTGATTTTTCTTTGGGCTTTGATGCATATCAGGCAAATTTGAAATGTTTATCCCCTTATTGTTTTCATATCTACCACATTTAATTATGCTTCATCTTTGAGAAGAAAAAGATAAGGTGTTACATTTAAAGAGCCCTGGTAGCAATAGGATAGGCATTCATTCTCACTTGGATCTTCTTTACTAAGGCACATATTGCCATTCTTAGATTCTTGGCGAACCAACACAGGACACAAGCAAACTAGGCGTGCACAAATTTATTAATAGGTTCTTCACCATAAATCCTTGTACCCTTTTCTCTCTTAGTAAGATGATATGGGAGAAAACCACATCTCCCTTTACCCTTCCACTACTAAGTATATTAAAGGATACATTCTGGTAAGCAATGAGCCATTTGCCATCATAATTTATTATGACATTTTGATATAATCATTTGATATCTTTTGAAGGCAGTGAAACTAGAAAGGTGTTTTGCTTCATTGCTGTGCAAACAACTTAGCTCTTCAGTTTCATATGTATATATGTAAAGGTTATGATACTCTAAAATTACTTCATCATTTCATTTCTCCCACTTCAGACAACAGTTCCTTACTTCCTTCATCTTGGGGCTAGCTCAGGCTCTTTCAATACTAGAGATCTGGACAGAAATTATATCCAATTTACATCTCCATTGCTTCAGTCTCAAATGTAATAACAGAAAGAAAAAAGCAACTTTGGAATTTTCAAACCATCTTTCCCACATTCCCCCCTTTCATTGTTGAGGAAGCAAGAAAGGAAGAGAAGAGAACCAAGTACCACCATTTGTGAGGTTGGGACATGGTTCTCTGTAGCCCAAATGGTGTTATTGATTTTTGAGAAATTTGTCTTTCCTGAGGAAGTGGTAGGGAGGGAGAGTAGAGCTTAAGAAAGACAAGTCATTTAACTGTTCCTTTTGCAAGATTTTCTTACAAAATGTACTTGTAAAAATATACTTTTTAAACAGGTTTCTGTCCTGTATTACTTTATTTCTTGGAGCCTCTCCCCCATGAATTACTTTGCATCTTGTTTGAAGTGAACGATTTTAAAATTTATATCTTGTCCTACTTTTATTTCAAGACTTTACTTAAAATATCTCTTTCTTTCCTCTTCACCCTGCTCAGATATGCATGAATATTTTATGCATTTCACACTCTTTAAGATGAAGAAAATAATATGGTAATCTGAATGGAGTAAAATCAGCATCGAATAGATTTTATTCTCAGAACAGTGGACAGTGATATATCTTCCTATTGCTATCAGCTGTCTTCACTGTTACTAAAACAGTCAAGCAAAGACATGGATTAATTAAACAAAGAGGTTGAACATGGATTATGCTGTATTCGATGGAGTCTAGAGGAGTGGATGCTTGCTTTGTGAAGGCAGGTAACATTCTCAAACTCCTTTTTGTGTCACTTACCCCACTCAAGGAACCAAGCACAAGTATGCCAGTTACCCAACACATGCTTAGTTGAATGAGTAAATTGGAATTAAGAATAAATCTTTAAGATATATCTAATACTATGGTTAATTTTATTAGAAATTACACTAGGGGTGATCAAGAGATTTTGACTAAGAACTGAGTGTGGTGTTAAGGGTCTCTCTAGGGCTGATGTGTGGACAAACCCACAAAGAAGGTAAATCCAGGGAGGGAAATGCTGGAGCACAGATAGAAATTAGCCAAGTGGTCATCAAATTTGAGTATGCTTTAAATTGCCATAAAGTACTGAGTGCTGGGGCCTGCTCCCTGGAAATTTCTGACACCAGGAAGTCTGAGATGGGAACTGAGAATTTGCATTTCTAAGCCACCTCCTTCTTGGTGGTACTGCTGCTACTGATCCAGGTAGCACATTTTGAAAACTACTGAATCAGCTGAAAGCTGGCCCAGCTCAGGGGATCTTAGCAGGCTGCTTGCGCTGTAATCTGCACAGAGGAGAAATGATTTTAGAGATTCTGTAGAGCAGTACTGAGATCATGTAACTGAGTGGACCTTGGAACAGTTTTAAGGGTCTTGCTTCCTCTTGATGTGCAGGACTGATAGCTATACTCTTGCAGCAAAAAGAAAGCATGGCTTAAAGAACTCAGATGGGTCTCAAAATCAGCTGATACAAAGGAGGTGCAAGGCAGAATGCATGGAATTGATTTAGTAATACTTTCGGCTAAGTTAATCTAATTTAGTAATGTAAGGTCATGTCCATATAACTAATTTATATGTAGTGTATTCTTTAAAACATCCTTAGGTTGCAAAGAAAGTTTATGTCCTTTAGCTGACTCTGCACATATCAAAGTAAAATGGGAAAGGTTGAGAAAGGGTAGGTGAGGGAGAGGGCAAAGCCCATTCATCCAAGAGAAATTATTTAGAAGAAATAGTGTCTACAGGCCATTCCCAGTGCTTTCCAATCAATCAGTGCTGTCTCCCGGTAAAACAGCCTTAGGAAGTTTTTAAAAAGAATGAGCAACAGCTTCAGCAACCAAGTAGTATGGGGATACATTTTCATTTCATTGTGATAGTGAAACAAAAATGACTTAAAATTCAGAGTAGATTTCAAATGCTTTATTTCAAATGCTAATTATGTTTCTAAAGTTTTCACATAATTTTTTTGGTCATTTCCTCCAGGTGAGTTTTATATATTGCAGTAATCATTTAGGTCTTTGGGAGACACCAGCATTCATCTTCTTTACAGAATTTTATGGGCTCAGGTGGATTTTCTCAATTTGCCAACAAACGGGAATAGTGTTATTACAGGAAAATGAACCATGTCTAAAAAAATAGAAATGTCTTGGTAAACAAATGGTCAACTATTCATATTTAATTTATTTGAGTTTTGTTAATTTGAAAATAAACAGAAAACAAAAGATCTGCTTAGTGATCCTTTCAAAAGAAAGCTACAGCTCAGCTCATGTATAAAACCCATATAAAAGTGACTCGAGACCTTGGCTCCACATTCAGCGGTCAAATATTTCAATGCTCTGTTGCCCCCGTTCCTGTTTCAGGTACATGTGACAGCGCTGCAGCTATGAGTGGAATTTTAAAGAGGAAGTTTGAAGAAGTTGACGGCTCCTCACCCTGCTCCTCTGTGCGGGAATCAGATGATGAAGTTTCCAGCAGCGAAAGCGCTGACAGCGGGGACAGCGTCAATCCATCTACATCCAACCACTTCACCCGTGAGTATTGGAACATACTGGAAGCCGACTCTCGGCTCTGCAGCGAAAAGAATAGTGCTATCTTGGTTATTTCTGTTTTTCATTCACTCCTTCTTACATTTAAAAAAATTGCTCTAATTGATCTAATAGAACAATGAACTAAAAATGAAGTATTTTTGAGTGGATTCCATTTATTTAGATACCTGTGGTGTGGGATTTTTATCATGCTAACCGATTTCATGAAAATGGACATGTTATTATTACACTTTTTCAAGAAAGAATCCAGTGCCCGGGAAATAGTTAGGGAAAGATGGAATAATTCAGGGTTTTTAAAAAATGTAATCCCTCATAAGTGAAGTTATGTCCTGGGTGGAGGGGCTTATTTAACAGTGGAAGATCTAACGTGATGAGAAATTGCTTAGGCAGCTGTGATTTAGCAAGAGATGTGTAAGCAGCAAAACTCTCTCAAGTGTGCAGCCCAAAGCCTGTTCCCTGCTCATCCCTCTATTCTGTCTTCCCCAAGGAAAAGGTTACCCTAAAGCCCACCTAGGAAAACAACGTTTTCCTTTCGGTTCCTTTTCCTGCCACACTGTAAGGTTAGCTTTTCTGTCAGGCAAGGTACTATGAGGTCTAAAGGATTGACGTGGAATATTCTCAAGCTAATGCATTATGTAAACGATGCGAAACTGTGTTAGTTACTTTTCTCTCACTGCTGAGACAAAATACCTGCCACCCAAAGTTAAAGGGGAAAGGGTTTATTTAGCTGAGTTTGTAGAGGTTTCAGTCCATAATCTGCTGGCTCCAAGGCAGGGATGGCAAACAGGCATCACGGAGGAGATACAAACAGCATGGAGCACACAAAAGCAGCAAAAGCAACAAGGGGACTTAACAGTGTTTTTCTACCCCTTTTATCTTTTTCAGATTACTGGGATTAGGGCAATGGTTTAGTAATCACATGCCCTTAACCCCAGCATCACTCATGCCAGATTCAGCCACCTCTAAAGAGGAAATTCCCACCTCACTTTGAGGGGACATTTAAACACAAGCCTTAACAGGAAGATTTGAACATGTCACAGTTACAATTGATAGCTAGTCTTATTATTATTTTTGATGAGTTGATATTATTAATGTCTGAATTTAGAACACCAAATTATATTGGAAATTTTGGGAACCAAAAAAATAAAATAAAATTTGAGTCAAAACTTTTTTTAAGAGGCAGTAAAGAGGGTAAATGTGGAGGTAAGGCCTATAATCCCAACACCCTGGGAAGTTGAAGCAGGAGGATTGTAAATTTGAGCCCAGCATGGGCAACTTAGCATCTTAGCAAGACCCTGTCACAAAATTAAAAATTAAAATTAAAAAAAGGTGGAGGATGTAGCTCAGTGTGAAGGTCCTGATTTCAGTCCTTACTAACATACACAAACATAAAGGTAATAGAGAAAGCTCAATAACTGTTCAATGGGAGATAAATATAATAAAATCAATAATATTCCTTTAAGCAATCACAACTAATTAGAAAATATGATGGAAGAGCAATTATAACTATTCTGGCTGAAAAATCATAGACTATTTTACATATATCATGATGATATGAAATGGGCTTCACCTTGTGTTTTTTGTTTTTTTGAGACAGGGTCTTGCTATGTAGTTCAGGCTGGCCTTCAGCTCACTGTGTAAACCAGGCAATCGTCCTGCCTCAGCCTCCTGAGTGTTGGGATTACAGGGCTATGCCACCACACCCGGTCGAGTTAATGTTTTTGAGTCAAAAGAAGATATGTGTTTGCTTTTTGATTTTACCAAAAGCATACTCTCACAGAGCTTTGTAAAGATCAAGCAGAGCAAGTGAAATGATATAAATGAAAGAAACTTGTAAAATGTCAAATTCTGGGCACACATTATATTAAAAATTATGATCATAGCTAACATTTTTGGGTACATGCTCTATTTCATTGGTAACAAACCCTTACAGAGGCTAAGAGTCTTGCCTAAGATCACATGAAACTCTAGCCTAGATATATGTGGTGTGATAAAAATACACAGTGAATGATGAAATTTTTGAAAATTTATTGTAGTGCAAAACATCCCCATCAAACTACCTTTCACTTCAAGCACTCTTATCCTATCATTCTTGCCACTTTCTGAAGCAGTTCTGAAGTCCTCATTCATGAGTGGCCTCATGACATGTGATCAAAAACATAGTAAATGTTGCTGTAGAGTACCATTCAATGGAAAAGGAAGCTTGTAAAATCATTCTGGTGCATCCTCATCTGCCTTATTTATCAAATCTGACACCATGAAAATTCTGACTCTTCCCCAAAGTCAAAATGACCTTGAAAGGTAATTATTTTGAATCAATTCAGGGCATCCAGGCAGCCACAACAACACAACTAAAGACTCTTGAAAGGACTTCCAGAACTGCTTCAGGGTAGCAAGAACAATGGGACAAGAGTGTTTGAAACAAATGGAATATTTTGAAGGAGATTTATGACAATGTGTCTTTTACTATAATAATCTTTTAAATTTAAACATTCATCATATTTTTCTATCATTTCTCATAAATCCATAGTTTCCTTCTTAGTGTTTACTTTTGCCACTATTTTATTTTGCTCATGAATTATATAATGTTGAATGTATCTTTAAAATATTATCTTCTTATAAAAGAAGAATTAATGAAGTAGATTATATTTCCATGTATAAAGCTATATAAACCTATTAATATTTTTCAGATTAATCTATAAATATGAGAGTACAATCTCAATAAACTAGATTTTCTTAAGTGAAGGAATAATAAAACTTTACTTGGAGAAATAAGCTAATGAGGAAAAAGGGAGACTTTAAAAAGAAGTCATAAATATTGAAAAGCCTTTCCAGATATCAATTTAAAATAAAAAATATATATAATTAAAGTTTTTTCTAGTGTGCTCTGTGTAGAAAAGCATAGAAAAATCCCAATATGTTACATACAAGAATTTAATACATATATAAAAATCAGCATTACTAAACAATGAGAAAGAGGATTTTTAAATAGTTGTACTATTAGCTAATTTGTAAAAGAAATAATTGAGATTCACATCTCATACCATGAAAAAAATGCATTTCAAATGTATCAAATAAATTAATTAATTTTTTTAATTATGAGAGAAGTTGCATATTTGTGAGACATTTGTAGGATCATTATATGGACTTTGAAGTAGTAGAGCAAGCATCATATCAGAAAACACAACATATTTAATAATATAAAAATATTTAATGTATAAACAAAAACAAAGTCCAATGAAAAAGAAAAATAGTTTATATTGAGAAAATTCATTTGATATGGGGTCATTTTCTAAATAAAGTATTAAAAACACATGTTAATTTTTGAAATAAAAACTACACACCTCCTCAAAGAGAATCTACATAGTAGGAAATATGATGAGCACATATTTTAAAGCATTTAACAACATTAGTAATTAAAACATATTAAAACAATACTATTGAGATTTCATTTTTATGAAATTAGTACTCCTCCCTCCAATATAAAATACTAATACCCAAGCACTGGTAAAGGTCACAGTACACATCATAGGAACACATATTGCTGTTAATGGCAATGAAATTTGGAAAGCACTTTGCAATATAAGAGCCATAAAAATATTCGTAAGTTTGTTCTTCAGAGAGTTTAACTGAAGAGAGAAAACTATAAAAATGAAAGTGTTGCTGTTCAATGCAGCACCAAAACTTAGGGTTGTGGAGACTGGAGAGGGAGAGGAGCATGACATACTTAAGAAAGCAGACGTGTTCCATTAGGTTACGGGAATTCATTTAAATCGTTAATTTTCATAACTATTATGAATGTGGGACTGTATAAAACTTAGGAGATCACGGATGGAGGAAAAGAACACAAAATTCGATCTATATTTTCAGCGAATTCTGTAATATCAAAGGCAAAGAATGGTTCAGTGTCCTAAAAACTGGAAACAATTTGACTTGTTGAAGGAGTAGAATGGTGTATGAACTTTTACTAAAGCTTATTTCTGGTAATATATACTTTCCCACAACAAATATGTTCCAAATTTAAAGAGCAAAAAAATGATATCTGCAGCTCACATTGTATTTCTACATGCAAAGCAGCAGATGAAACGGTATGAAGAGCTGAATTATACAATATTTAGCCAACTCACGAAACCTTTTCCATGAGTTGCATCTAGCAGAGATTATTTTTCCCATTAAAGAGAACAGACTTATTTTATGATGTTCAAAAAGTTATTGAAATTTTTCAGCTTAACATTTAATATCAGTGGTAATGCCATGATTAATTCACTAAAAATGCTGATTTAACTTTGTGTTAAGAATGAATCTAGTAGAGATTTTCTATGATTTTTAAAGATTAAATGAATGTTTGTATAAAAAGTTCCCTTCTCGTTTAATAGTTTTGTTCATTATAGTCACATTTTGGAAAGAAGGATAAAGAAAGAGAAATAACAAAGAATCAAGTGACAAAGATTCTACCTACAATATTTGGTTTTATGAATGATCAGAGCATTTTAATGAATGTAAGAGGAGTAGTTAAGAGTTTCTCATTTTCAAAAATGTATTTGAAATTATTTGATACTCTAGAAATCTAATTCCAGATATCTAATCTAAAAGTATTCAAATTTATAAAAGGATGTTTTATTTATTCTAAGATTATAGTAAGGGTTTATCTGCAATATCTTATTCATATGAACCTTTGGCCACATTAATCCTATGTCATTTTTTTTTGCTGTCAAAAATAAAAGTGATTACTGTCTTAGAATAAAGGACTTTGGAAGACTATCAACTTTATATCTCATTAGGAAACAACTTAGTGTCATATTGGGGTTTTGAATAATGTGGTTGCCCTTATTTAAATCCTACTCTCATCATATGCTAATCTTTCCTGTTTAAAATATTCTATGTACCCATTACTTTACAAACATTTTAAGTAACATTACATAACATTTTGTTTTGTATTACTTGTATAGGAATTGATATGATTATTTTGTTCATGCAGCAGTTAC